GGGCAGGGCACAAGAAAAGGATTTAGAGGTGACTCAATCCAGGCCCCTAGTAGAGAATGTCCTCGAAGCTGAGCAGCAGGAACTGGTGCAGGGAAGATGGCAGGTGCAGCTCAGGCAAGACCTGCAGCAGCCGGCCCTCCAGGTAGCTCCTGAGTGCACAGCGGGCCAGGTGCTGCAGGGAGCGGGGCCTCTGCCCCAGGGAGAAGAGCGACTCATAGAAATCTGGGTGCTTCTGTCAGGAGAGAAGAGAGAGGTCAGCATGGGCCACGTTTCCTCCATGACAGCGGGCTGGTGCCCCTACCCCATGTCATGTGACAATGGCAACAAATCGAGGCAGACACTTTCCACCAACACTGAACAAGGAGCTCTGTTAGCACAAAGGTCACAGCCTTATCCCTACAGCCGTTCGATTTCTGTCTCTCCCTGTTTCACTGCAGAGCTTCTGCCCAGCACCTTCCCTGCCCCCTCAAACCTTCAGAGGGTGCTTCTGGGACCTGCCCGGTCAGCCAGGCACTGTGGGGTGAAGCCCCAGGTCCCTGAAGACTCTTGGTTCTCTTACCTGCATGATCTCAGCTGGGACAGCCTCTGCCCACTCGTCAGTGACCCGCACACGGTCATAGCTGTTGATCAGCACCTCGATGGTGCGAGGCGAGGAGCAGCAGTAGCGCAACACCTGCAGCAGGGGAGGGGATGGAGAAGGCTGGTCTCACGCACCAGGCACTGGATTCCCTGCTCTGCTTCTGCTGCCCTGTGATCCTGGGCAAGTCCTGTAACCTGTGTCTTTTCCCAGTCTGTGATGGGCCATGCCCACGTCGCACGTGATGGGGTGGGGTGGGATGGGCCGTGCCTGAGGGTTGCAGGCCTGCGGGTCGTTATGGCAGCAGGAGGGCTGCGTGTGGGTGGATTCCCTCCCCATCCCCTGACTCCCACTCCCCATGGCCCAGGCCATCAGTAGCTGTCAGAGCCTATTCCAGCTGCACGAGTGAGCCTCATTATCTGGTGTTAATAGGAGATTAATTAGTGTTAATTGTTGATTTTCCTGTATTTTCCCAAAGGGGAGAGCAATCTGCAGATCTCCAGGCTGGGTAATTATTGCACTGCTCGGGAATTAAGGAAGATAGTTAACCCTTTGCTTGCTGGTGTCTCGCACAGAGGAGGCGGCGGGAGCTGGGGACAATGCCCCATGGAAGGAGAGCACCGCCTAAGGCCAGTGCCGAAGAGACAGGCCAACTTCACCAAGGCGGGACAGCACCTCGTGGGGCCTGGAGATTAATGGAGCTTGGTGGCAGGGCTGTGTGCTCAGCACACAGAGAAGGCAAGAGACCCCTAGGGGGAAATATCACTCCATGTGTATCCCCCCTTAATACACCTCCCTCTGCAGCCCCCCCCAGACCGTGCCTACCCCCACATCACCTGTTCTCCCCACACACGTCAATCTCTGTAGGTCTGGGCATGCCACAACCCCTGCCCCACACCCTGGCATGCTGCCCCCCCCTGCGCTGCCCAATCCCCATCACAGCCAGGCAGCATGGCAAGGGAGGGGCAGGTCATAGGCTGTTCAGGGCGCCCCATGGGCGTTCCTGGTAGGACACTGCTCGCCAGGCAGCCGACACGTTCTGCATCCACTGCAGCGCCCGTCCTAGCTGATCTCAGGTCCACATTGCACTGACCCAGCTTGGAGGTGACAGAGGTCTAGCTCATGGTGCCACACTCCCTGGCAGACAGCTTCCACGCTGCCCTCCAGCCCAGCACGCTCTGGGATGAGCCCCAGGCACTGGGAAAGCCTGCACGCTCCCTGCAGAGGGGGCAGAGCCAGGAAGTTGCATGTGGCCAGCACCTGGACATGCTGCCTGCAGCTGGCCTCTCCTCACACCTAGCCCCCGCCCCACCCCTGCAGGACAAAGCCCTCAGCAGAGGCTGCCACCCTCAGGACCATTGGCAAGGAAGGGAGCCCCAGCTGGTGTGACTAGGGGCTGAGCGTGAGTTCCTGCCACTTTGTCCTGCCCTCCATGGCCCTGGTCTAAGAGCACAGGTTCTCCGGAGCATGGTCTCTCTCATGCACCCCCTGTGCCCTGCCCCACCTCAGCCTGGGCCCACACAACCCACACCCCCTCCTGAAGAATGACTGGCCAGACTGACTGCACCAGGACTAACCAACTCGAGCCAAGGGACGATGGCCCACGGACAAAGAGCATCTCCTAAGGCCAGTGCCAGAGAGACAGGCTCACGTTCTCTTTCCCAGCCAAGTCCCCACTGCTCACAATGCCAGGGCTGGGAGCTCACGCCCTCACAGCCCCCCAGGCCCTAGTAACCTCAGCCGGGGGCAGCGGTGCCCTGCCCCGGTAGATACCTGAATATGGCCATTAAAGGGACACAGCTGGGCCCCTCAATCAGCAGCCCAGCCAGGAAAAGGAACCCAAATGCTGGTGCCTGGGGACCTGTAGCGGGGCTGCTGCCCCACTCCTGGAGAACAGGGGTTAAAAGGCAGCCAATCAGGGCCAGGCTGGCCCTATAAAAGAGCTGCCGGGCCACCAGGCAAACAGTCTCCCTCCTGCCTTGGAGGGAGAAGGGCCCGGCTGCCGGGTACTGGACAGAGCAGGGCTGGGGAAAAGGGCAAGAGGAGCTGGGAAGCTCCTGCCTGGCAACTCCCCAGGCTGAGGCCTTGGTCAAGGCCTAAACAGATCCTGGGGCTGGGAGGTGCAGCCTGGGGATAGGCCGAGGCAGCAGGTCCTACCCCCTTGCTGATGATGAGGGGCCATGACAGACTGCGTCTGCCCCAGCGAGCGGGGGCTGGATGACGACTGGCAGTAGCCATTGAGGCAAGGTGGGGATAGAGGGTTGGGGGTTCCCCTGGGAGGGGAGATCCAGAGCGTGGGGGTACTGTGGGAGCAGAACCCTGAGGTAAAGGGCACCAGGGTCCGGGAGGGACACGGGGGGCCAGCGGCAGGCGAGACACCAGCCTACAGAGGGCGCTCCGGAGGCTGGAGAGCTAATTCCCAAGACAACCAGCAGGAGGTGCCGCGCCAGTGAGTCTTTGACTTTGCTACAGGACCCCAATTGCTGGGCAGCAAGAGGGAACTCAAGCCCCTGAGCTGGCTGGGAACAAGACCTCGACAAGGGGAGGGGGCCCTGACTGCAGGGGAGGGAATGCCTCCTGGAGGGGACCCTGTTCACACACCCCTCTCACGCAGCACCCATCCTGCTGCTGCCCCAGGCTGCTCCACACCTTGATGAGGGCCCCGGGCCAGATGCGTATGGAGCCATGGTTTAGCAGCGCCTGCACCACGAGCTCTGGCCGGTGCCCCAGCTTGTAGGCCGCCACCTGCAAGATGTTGTGCATGGCTGTGTTGCCGCTGTAGCTCATAATGTTGACGCTGGCGCCGTGGGCCAGCAGCAGCTCCACCACCCGGGCGCTGGCGTTCTTGCAGGCCTGGTGCAGCGGGCGCTGCTGGTCCTGGTCCGCAGCATCGATGTTGGCACCGCTCTGCACCAGCTGCTGGCAGACGCGATAGTAGCGCTCCATGTCCTGGGGTGGGTGCGCCTGGGCGCAGGCGGCATTCAGGGGGGTCTGACCCTCCTCGTTCTTGGCCTCCAGCCCCGCTCCATGGCGCAGGTACAGCTGGACGTGCTCTTCCAGGCCGTGCCGTGCTGCCACGTGCAGCGCTGTGTCCTCTTCCTCCTCCGTCTGGCTGTTCACGCTGGCACCATATTGCAGCAGCAGCTGCGCACACCTGCAGGGCGTGGGACCCCTCAGCCATGCGTTTCTCCCTCCTCTGCCCAACACCTACCCACTATCCCCCACAACTACCCACTGCCCCCTAACCCCCATCTGCTGTCCCATCCACCTACCACCTGCCCGCTATCCCCCACAACTACCCACTGCCCCCTACCCCCCATCTGCTGTCCCATCCACCTACCACCTGCCCGCTATCCCACACAACTACCCACTGCCCCCTACC